GGAGACGCCGCCTCTCCGCCTATGACGTGGCGTCTCCCGTATAGGCCAAGAATTTATGATTACCTTTGTTGCAAGTTCCTCTAACATTATACGCTTACAGATTATTGTTTAATTTCAAGTTAAAGGTGGAAACATTTTTTGCTTCGACGAAGTTTCAACAAAGCCTTGGCAGATTTGCACCACAAGAAAATAAGGACTCGAAGATAAAATTAAATTAATACCACCGAACCGATATGCACATGCGGAGCCCACCGCAACCGCAGCCGAGAAGGCCCCTCGGCAGTGGGGCTCCGAATGGGTGCACCGCTGGCGTTTCACCAACATGTTTTTGGTACCGCAGGTGACGACGTTAAAGTACACGTTCAGGAGGCGGTTAAGGAGTATTATCAAGTCCGTTATTTGTGCTATCGGCTGTGTGATTTTTCAAATTTTCTCTTTATAAGCAAAAACAACAATAAAAAACCAAACATATACTGAGTAGCAAATACCGTTTCTTGCAATACTCATCCGCCATCATAGTACAATTAATTTACCTTGATTGTTCGTAACGGACGGCGATCTCCATTAACATACGCCGACAGGTAAGAGTGGCTCTCGTTCACCTTTTTGGTTGCTTGGTGTCGAAATAACACTACAGTATTACGAAAATATTGAAATACTGTTTACGGCAGACGACGCAACGTCGCGTTTACATATGTTTACCGTTTAGAAATTGATCACATCCTAGAGTTTTGTTCTAGTTTTCTTTTGCCAGGGATGAGAAATTGGCAATGTATGAGTTATTTACGTACTTTTCATTAACCTTGGTTAGCGTGCTCGCTTTCCACCGCGCAAGCCCGGGTTCGCTTCTCGCTCGGTGCCAAAATTAATTGTGCGCTTTCTTTGAAATGTCCCAGTCTCTGAGTGACGATGAGAAAGCTCACTTCTCAGGTTGAGAATACCAGAATGCAGCGTAAGGATGGCTATGTGCTAACCACACGTATCCTTCCGAAAATATTGTTGAAGTTTAAGCAGTCCAAGCGACTAAATTTATTATTAAAAATGTAAACAACATCGTTTGGACTTTTCCTATTTTGTCCGGATCATTGTGCGTGTGTGTTGAAGAAGATTGTTAATGTTTAAGCAGTCTAAGCGACTAAAAAATGTATTATCAAAAGTTTTTCACATCAAATAAGTGTAAACAACAACTTTGAAGTTTTCCTGTTTTGTCCGTCTCATTGTACGTGTGTGTTTGAAGACTGTTGATGAAAGCGACTAAAAGAAATGAAATCAGCCTCGTTCGGGCATTTCCTATTTTTTCGTTTGGCTCATTGAGCGTGTGTGTGTGCGTGTGCGTCTGCGTGTGCGGTGGAAATGTCGGCGGCAGATGACGGAAGCCGCATGGATGCGCGTGTAGGCAGCGCGTGAAACACTCTTTCCGTCAGCTGGGTGCGCGGCTTGCAGCAAGAGCGAGGAGGTGCAGCCTCTAGATTCGCCCACTCGCCGCGTGAGCGACACTCTTCAGTTAACGAGATTCGCCAGTAGAGCGCAGTACGTTTATCCGTACATTAGTTTCACAGACCAGGAATCCAGGAACTAACTCAGTCTTCAGTGTAATTGGTTATTATAACCATTATCATTACCAGGGAGATTTTAAATTTTCTTTCTTTAAACATAACATGGGTCTCACAATTGGAAAAATGATTGGCAAAATGTGGCTCCCGGGTATGGAATGTCATAAATATTTTCTCGAAACGGGTGATGTATTACCCGCATACGTTTTCTAAAACCCTGATGTCACAAGATGCGAGTGGGATGGGGGTTCATAGTTTGGTTGACAGGACTATTATACAAAATCTGTAGCACATTTTTCAAAATACACGAAAATTCTACTAAGCGAGCATTTCTTGATATCAGATTATGACAACACTGCTCCTTTCTATAATTTATTCATATAAAGTATTCAACTAATGTTAGTAAAGGAGTGGGGGCAAGTTTTTTGGAGCTCACGAAAACGTACGCCTATAATGCACATTTTTACAGACTTTCTAAAGAAACAGTTAATACAAGCCATGTGGGGTTAGCTACTTGTGGCTCATGGGAGGATTTTAACTTTTCCCACAGAATGTTAGACATTGCATATATTTTTAGTGCAGAATGCATACCTTTAAGTTTTGTTATGGAAAGAATTATTTAGATTTTCAGTCAAAAATTTGAGATTTCTTACGATTTGAATACTTCTCTCAAAGTATTATGTAATTCAGATGATGTGGGTAGTTCACTCCTGTTATACTCATTAAAGGAAAAGTTAGTTTATGCTGTAACTCCATTAGAAAAGTCAATTTGTTTCCTGGCCTGTAAAAGTATTGTCGGTAACTAAACGGAAGATGAAATGACGTAATTATTTAAAAAATAATATTTTATTATATTGTACATACACCATAAAATACAATATAATAACAAATTATGTATTATTTAACTAAAATCCGGGATGATCCTCTGCAAAACGACCGGCTGGATCCGTCCGTGAGCCAGACAATACATCGCTGTGACGTAACGCTCTTTTGGAGCGCCAAGTGGCCGTGGTTTAACATAGCAAAGCACCTGCCTCCTGGCCTCTCGCGTGTCCCTGTGCGGTTTAGTTCCGTCACGAGGCCACAGAACGCTCCCCATGCTGTCTCCGTGGAGTGTTGGACACCCATTGCTGGCTGCATGTCTTGGTGTAATGTAACTGATTGCATATTGTTTAATTAATTTGTGCGTTACTAGTACACAAGTACAATACATTTTAGACGATATTCAGTGTATTTTGGGTATCATGTTTGGTGAATTTACGTGTTTTCATTTTATATTAGGTTTGTTGAGGTGTGCAGTTCTTTTGTGTAAAGGTCTGTTGATCAGCTGATGAAAGTCCTCTGTGATTTCGTGCATTTTTTTCCATGCAATAGTTTGGTATCGGTATGTATACGAGTGTCTGTAAGAATTGGAAACACAAATATTTTTTGTGATTAGTTTTATTTGTTATTGTTATTGCTGCTGTTGTCGAGAAACCATCTTCGCTTCGCTAACTATAACCTCACGAAACGTCGACAGGTTTTAGTTAGGTCAAAAGCAACTCGCGCTACAAAACGGCCAAACCAACTACACAATGTAGTGACATAACGACAAAAATAACGCCAGATTAGTGTATATTCTATTAATTTACAGGTATTAAAATTCAGTGTTTGTGTTATAAAATCTGTTAATAGAAGCAGAGCGGCACTTTCTTTCATTCAAAGTAAAAATCAGGAAATTTGGCTGAATAGAAAACTTAAATTTATTTCCAACCAACAACTCAGTGTTTTAATTAAGTATGATATTTAAATCTAAATTAAGAATGAAAATTCTCAGTTATATGAGGAGAACGTGCGGAGTTGCTAGTGTTGGAGAGGAGGTTATGAGAACCCCAAAACTGAGACACTTTCGAATCGCTCGTGGGCTGCAATAGTGACACAACTCAAAAAATACGAATTTTGAGTTAATGCACTCCCCAGAATCGCATATTGGTCTACCTTCCACCAGCATATCTTTCAGAGCAGTATACCTCCACCAAAAGGCAGAACTATGAATGCAAGATTTTTTGCATTTCAATACAAGGTGCAACATCAACCATATTTATCTCAACACGTGCTTTTTTGACTTCTGCCACTATTGCAGCCCACAAACGTTACAATGAATGGTGTTTTATAACATAAGATGTGAATTCACATTTTATTGGAAAAATCTGCAAATGTGTGAGTGTGTGAAACTTTAAAATTACGCTTTCAGCTAACACACTATTGCCATTCAGTATGTACGTCTCAAATCAAAAGCCGTTGAGTGTCGCCGCGTGTCCTCCCACGCGCGGATGGGGAAGGGGGGCGTGGCGGGGGCGTG